CATCACATCGGGCCAGTCCCTGTTATGATTTTCTTCAAGAGCCTTCAGATAAGAGTCAATATTGTCGGAAGACATGGTCGGTTCTGGGGATGGTTATATTAGAGTGCTTTTTGGATTGCTTTGCGTGGGAAGTGAACTTCGTAAATAGTCTGGCGTAACCACTCTCTTTAAGTACATCAACGGGGAGTCCATATATCGTTAGAGGGGCTAGGAAGTTGCAGAAGTCGAGAGTTGGACACAAAGCTGCGCCTCTTGGAAGATTCGAAAGCGGCTTGTCATTTCGTGCTAGGCTTTGCTCATGTCCACGACGACAACTTATTAACATTGAAATGGACTAAATAGAAATGCACACAATAGATTTTCCGTTTGCGTAAGGACCTGGTTTATTCTGGGATAGGCCTGGCATTCATGCGTATCCATAGTAACGAAAAATTTGACAGTCGAAAGACTGACTGGTATACAGCCCAGATTTTGATACAGGGACGTGAAGCTCAGTAATCTTGTTTATCAGGCCAATGCCTGTTCTTCCGACCTAATTTACTACAACCCATAATTATCATTGCTCTAAAGCTATTCTTAACGTTAATTCCTGCCTGACAAATCCACTAAATATGAGTCCTTCGAAGGGTAAGATGAAGGAATTCACAAAGTCACGGCGTCGACGAACAAAGCACGTGAGCAGCGCCTGTGAGACTTGTAGACAACGGAGAAGAAAGGTATATCGCTTGATCGTCTCAATAAGTTTTACATTTAACAGTGAACCAGTGTGATAAGAAGCGGCCATGTAATCAATGCAAGAACGCGGGATGGGAATGTAAAGAACAAGTCAAGAAAGACTTGAGGGGAAAGGATTTTCGTCAGGAAGAGGCGTGGAGGGCAAGATTAATGGGTCAAATCATAGACATATGCCAGGATTCAACCACTCTAGAGTTCATGGATCTCATGACGGTCTTCCACAATCAACCCTCGTGTGAGGATATTGATCGGGTTCTCAACAACACAAAAAATTCACAAAGATTGGCCGCGAGACAATATGAAGTGTTCCCAAATGATGACCGACAAATAATGTTGCCTGGCTACCAGCCCGACCGCTATGAACACGGTTTCCAGACGACCATTCCGCACAGGCACCCAAATATGAGTAGGGAGAAGTATGTTGAGCTGCGGGTGGACCGCCATGTGAAAACAAAGAGTGATAACCATACCAGCATAGATGCTGGCAGGCAAAGGATCAGTATTCAGGCACTGACACTCCCGTGAATGGCGACAAATGTTGTCGGTCCTCAACACCTGCATCCACATCTCTCGCCATTCCCATAAATACTTTGAAAAACAATCTGCGAAGGATATCTGCATCAGAAGGGTCGAAGCTTGGAATGCCGACGGTTGTCTCATGTATGATCGTGAGAATCCGGAGCACAGAGACAACCTTTAATGGGAAGGCATTCAACGAAATACTTTTGTATTTCTGAGATCCATGCTGTAAAGCTAGTTATACAGCTGTCATCGAATTCAAAAAAGGACTCCTGTTGTTCATATGTATTGCGATGACCCAAACATAGAAGCGTAGTCAGCTGGTAAGAAGGTTGATTCGTGGTTTTATCGGGGGCCATGACCAAACTCGGGTATTCTGCAAGGCGACTGGACTGGAAATAGAGCTGTTTGGGAACGTTGGGCGATGAAGTGTAGGAGGTTGTGCTGGCAAGCGACGTCTTTTATGTGTTCACGCTGACTTGAGAATACAGAATATCCGGCAAATATGATGAGACATAGACCTCTGTCTGCCCCTTGACAAAAGCAAATATCTTAGGCCCGAAACGAACTTCAAACCCTGAGTGATGGGACGGCTGTGGTCTCGGGATTTAAGTGCCGGGGATCAAGGAGAAAGTCTTAAATCACACCCTCAGATCAAAGAAAGAGTAACTCCTGCTGCGTTACTGTTTCCTATTTACAATCCACAAACAAAGCAAGATGCTGAGAGGAAGAGATGTTTGAGAGTGGTTAGCGGGAGGCTTGAAGGGAGTTCTTGTCCAATCTGTCACTGAAAATGGTCATGGTGACAAATTCTATCCCTGAGCGTGCATTCTGATAAAGAGAAACTCTGTCAACCAAAGTAGGAGATCTAGAGACGCACAGATGTCCCATCAATGGACTTCACAATGCCATAGAATATGTACCAAAGCTTCCCTGTCCATAAGCCAGAATTCTACCAGACTCTTCGAATAAAACCCTCAACATAGGGATAGATAATATCAAGTAATAATACACGGCCTCCAGATTGTGGGTTTAATTAAGCACCCACACGCGAAGGAGATCAACATATGCACCAACAATTTCCCTCGACACCCTGTTAACGAAACTCGGCTTCCGAAAAGTGGGAGCTCACGTCAAAGCCTCCTTTCGATATCGTCGAGAGCTTATATCGACGGGGCGGGGGCTTGATCTTGGTCATCGGTCCTCTCATTCATTGTAGCGAATGTCGCCGTTGAGTTAGCTCCTGTGTGCTCCTTGGAGACGATCTGTTCGCGGCTCGAGGATCGCCTCACAGACGATATGTTGCCCACGTGGTCGATATAGAGTTGCTGAATTCCACGCAATGCTAAGAGGGTATTGTTTACCAAGAGTTGAATCTTCATATGTAAGCAAAAGAACGATATTATGAAGATTCGACTTACTGTAAGCCACAATGTCTCTTGTTGACTGAATCTCTGTTCAAGCCCAAAGGCGGCAAAATTGATGATAATAGACACAATTGATCGACCCAAATTGTAGGACAAGGGGGAGTTAGTATGCCCTGTAAGTCGCAATAGTTTCCCTACCCAAACAATCCGATAAAGACAACAGAGCGAGATGGTGAGGGTGAACAGAAGCGAGCTGGTGAATGTATTTTGTCTGTATATGCGATTTTGTTAGCACTATCCATGCACCTCATCAAAGAGGAACACTCACCCCAAGACCAATGACGATACAAATAGACTGACAGCGATGATGCTTGACAATAGTGTCACACCTCGGACTACTGTCAGATCTAGTAATGTCGAAGATTCAATGAGACTGTATACCTCCCCCGCCTGTCTAAGCTGTCAGATAGTCGTCAAAAGGAGCCAGGAAATGAACTCACTTCCAGAAAACTGAGGGAAAAAAGGGCCACACGGGCAACAATGTAATTGATATTAACAAGCTCCGGTGGTCTCTCAGCGATGACAATGACCAACGTGATGGCAAGAACTGTTTGGCAAGAGGCATTCAGAAAAAATAGCTTAGGGCGGGTGTGCCTCAGTGCCAAACTGGTCCAAGCCGCCACGAGAAACAGCATGGTGACAAATACGTTGACCACGCTCCAAAGCCACGCGGGATCTTTCGTCGGAGCTGTCATGATGGTTGAGCTGTGGGTGAGCGACAGAACGAATGAACAGAACAGAAGAAAAAAGGCAACCAGGCAACGGGTGGACGTGCAGGAGAAAGGAACATTTATCTCCTGGGCGTCTGGAGGAGATGGAGCGTTCATCATTGATTAGTCTGGCTCTGGAATTCATGATCTCGCTATCCCTGACACCCGATGTGCAATGTCTCTTTTGATCTCATCTCTCACTTGTGCATCGTAGAGAGAAATAGAGGTGTCACCGTACATCAGTCAGGGGCCTTCAAGGTAGGAAGTTCTATGGTATGGTGGAGTGGAGACTCACCGTGGAGGTCAACGTGGAGGTCACCTTTCATGTGACGGGTGTGCTGGAAATGTAGCCTCTGCGGTTGCATTGGGATAGTACAAGTATCTGCAGGAAGAGGCGGGTCCCAACGTGAAGTCCCGCTAGGCCCAATACAATCTGCCAGGTCGACGTGTGTCGACCGGGCAGAATGTAAAAGGACTAGCGTGTATGAATGTATAGATGGACAAAATGGATCGAAATAGACCTTCTTGTCGCCGGGAGCCTACTGGCGGATTGCTACACAGGTCGCCCAAACAATGGGGGAAGAACCTAGTCGCCTTTTGCACGAGGAGCTGCAAAGCCGGACTCTCAACGTACTGTTTACAGACGAACAGGTAACTTAAGGAGGGAGGTTTCCGGTCACTACTCAGCCATCTGACTTGATTTAGTTTGTACAACAGTTCCAAAAGGCCCTTGATCGAGATCCCTTAACGGAAGCTGCGTTGCGTGGTATCAAACCCTTTGTGATTCCGAGCAATCGAACCTCTCGTCGCGCTGCTGCTGAAAAACTTCCGGTTGACACAAAACTCTCCGACAGCGTTCAAGAGCTCTGCGACCGATTGAAAGAGAATCCTTCATGTTTGACCGTCCGTGAGGGACTTCAGACAAGGCAGGATGCAGTCAAGGTCGATGATCCCCTTTCCGTTCACGGGCTGCACACGGACGTGGAAGACAGCGCACAACTCTACGAGGTTACGGACTCGTTGTTATGTATTCTCATGAATTGGTATACCTCAAAGAGTAGTCCGGAAGAATTTGCCCAACAAATTTTCGAATCAAAATGTGCTCACATTCAAGACAAGCTCGAAGCAGAGGAGGAAAAACGGAGCATCATTGCGAACTGTCGACGACGAAGCCTCTCCGGCAGCAAGATATATACCTTTTGTTCAGATTTTATCGAAGACCCGGGCGCAGTTTTCCACCTTCCTCGAGAGGTCAAAGCGTACGTGAGCCCCAGTGGATCTCGTACACCGCTGACTCTGGACAGGATGATTGTTGCTATAGGCCTGCCGAATAAAAGCTTTCGAGACATCCATGACATCCTCTCTCGACGGTTAATAGAAAAAGGAATCAAAATCCACGCTAAAGAAAATGGAGGAGCAGAAATTCTTCGGAGAATGAAGACGGTTGTTGACGAAGCCACCTTGCGTTGGCACACTCCAGTAGTGGCTGGCGGTGCTCCTCGAAACACGTCTGCTGTGGCGCCGGCCGCCATCCCTTCGCAACAGAGAGACGCAATAAACGACAACGAAAACCTCGAGGCTGTGACGCCGGTGAACCAGACAACCGTCGTTGGTGCGCCCCGGCTGGCAAGAGACGAGCATATATCATGGGACTCCGGTGTGGGCGTCGGTGGCGATCCTTGCCACGCTTCACCAGTCCCCGGAGAATGTCCTTCCGCTCTCAGAGCCCATGCAGTCAGTGGAAGTGTTTTAGAGGAGCCCGAAAGCGACAACATTGGCCGGACCAAGCGTCGCCGTCTAGATCAACCGAACATGGAGCCGCTCGATAGGCTAGGCCCCGAAGGTGAGTATCGTTCCCGGGCCCAGTCACACCTGAGCTGACTTTGTAGACGATCGAATTGACCAAACATTGTCGGTCGACGGTACGATATTGCCGGAAGAGGGTCGAACGAGTAATGCCACGGAGATGGCTTACGATGACTTGGACTGGTCGTTCTGGATCAACATGGCCGAAGATGTCGACTTCAACTACAATTTGTTTCACCCATCCCAATCGGAATTCCTACCAGCCGACGAGCCGACGACGAATTTCTAGCATTCTTGATTCACCGCTTCGGAATTGGACCTGGCTTAGGCCCTCAATGCCGGGTCGTTCTCATCGCCTTGATTCTCCGCGATTTTCACTAGTTTGCATTCAAGAATCATTGAACCAAAACTCCCGCTCTGCAATGTCACGCCCTCCGACCCATGAACCGTCAGAACATCGCCGTCCTGCAAATCATAAGGCTGGTAAATGGCCGCAACCCGTGGTTCGATAAGTTTTTCGATGGGAAAAGGGGCTGGCGACTGTTGCAATGCCGTCGATGGCAACCCAGGGTCATTTTGGTTCGAGTCGACGGAGACACCCCCATCACGAGTGGTTGGCTCCTCGACGTTGGCAGGAGCAGAGTGGAGGGAATGAGAGCCTGCCGGAGCAACTGCATTCTGTGGCAAGGTCGGAGCTGATTTCTCTCTGCTGGCATGTTCTCTGCAGCACTGGCAGAGTTGAACATTCATGATAACCAACACTTGATTTCCAGTTGCCTTGAGACCGGCCGTAGTCACAAGGAATTTTGGGTCGCTTGTGATCTCCAGGCGGAAGCCTTGATCCTCATACAGGGAGCAGACAGTTGGGTGCTTCGGAGCGGTTAGAAGGCTTTTATGGCGCGCGAGAAATATGTCATACTAACACAACATTTGAGGTATACCTTGTAAAACTCGTGGAATTGGGGATGATCTTGCTCCCAGGTGGGCGAAAGTGGCAGTTCCCACTGATGTTTCCACCAGCCTTTCCGGTCACGTATTTGGACCAAGTCTTTAATATGTAGAATGACGCATTTGACGATATTTCGTACTTCCTGAGGAGCTCTGAAGGTGTGCATCTTGAAGCAGTGAAAAAACTTGTATCGAGATGGCCTCTCAATCGCGAAGCTCGCTCAAGTGCGCGGAGTTGAAGAATATATATCTAAAAGTAATCGGCTTACTTCGAGACACGCGCCGGGCAGACGTTGAAGAGGAAATGACATTCAAATGTTAAAGGGAGAGAGAATGACGGTGTGTCAACTGGTTGCGACGAAGCCCACGTCGCAATGCCACGTCATATCGTCTTGACGGCTTGATTGGGCACAAGGGCCCACGTGATTGCCCGTCGGCAGAGTTAAAACGCGAAGACTCTTCATTGGGCAAGAGTAGCTTGCTGCTATAGACAATTTTCTCCAACCTCACGATTGTCGAGACGTGAAGGAACCGTAGAGCAAGCAATACCTTCCACTATTTAGATATTCACCCTATATAGATATTCCCATTCACGAGTGCCACAGAACGTAAGGGAGATCCAGAGAATTAACAGCCCAGGACGCGACTTGGTCAACCTCAAGAAATCTGCGTGGTAGTTTATCAATCGTGAATGAATACGGAAGTCTAGGGATCTGGCTGGTCTGATCAGCAAGCTTTGTTCTGTGAAACGGGATACAGTACCTTTAATTGTCAGCGCCTTCTTCACGCGATTCTGGGAGCCTGTCCGTCGCTGAATCGCCAATTGTGTCGAAAGTGACCTCTTCAGCCGCTGAGAGATCGAATTCTTCTTCGTCCAGTGTATGGGACTGCAGATATATTCAGCGTTTGATTTCGCAGGTTTAATGGACGAGGATTTGTATGGGAGTATGGCATTCAATAATAAGACGCCGACAACCATGAAGCTGAAAGGGTACATGACCTGCGGCAACTAACAGCCAGGGAATAATGTTGGTCTTCTTACCTGCTCAGCGGTCTGGTTCATGTTTGTTGAAGGAGCGACTTGCTCAGCGGTGTGGTTCATGTTTGTTGAAGCAGCGTTGTTTTGGTCGCTAGATCCATTATTGGTGGCCGAGGCTGTAGACGTTGCCTGTTGATCTGTTCCCTGTGAGGAGTGATCCGCATTGATTCGATTTGCCGACATATTGAGGAAGAGCTTTCTGGTTAGGAATATGAGTAGGCTGAGAGTGGCAAAGTCATCTCAGGAGGAAGCACCCCTTCTTATGATCACAAGCTGAATGTCTGCCCTCCAAGTGTTTTCCTTGTTGGTGCTCATCATCGATCAGAATACGCGGACAACTCGGCTTCAGGGGTTCTGACCAACGACTCTCATGATGCTCTGCAATGGTTGTCCGCATTCGCTAACCAAGCTCAGCTTCGCGCTCGATCTCTCGGCTACATTTGCGCGTCGATCAAGGGACCAGGTACCTCAGAACGACCAGCGCAGACCCTTGTCGAAGACTATCGATGCAATGCCATCGCATCCTGGCTTCATGCTGCAGATTTATGTCAAGAAGAGAGGTGGCAGACCATTATGCGACCTATGTTGACGGGTCACAATGTTCCTGGAAGCGCAGACTGAGACATGACCGTCTCAATAATGATGCATTGGAGGTGCGTGCTAGCTTGTCTCGTGGCGCAAAGGATTTCAATGGTATGCATATTTTGCCGCATAACACAACAAGTACGTATTCGGAGCTAAAGTAGCAAACGACGGGCATTCTTGTAAAGACCGAACGCACGCCAGGGAAATGTGCAGATATTGGATTCGCGATAACGGGCAGCGTGATAGAGAGGTTTTGAAAGGTCGCCAGAGACACGACCGTCGGTGCTGAATGCGTATGCTGCCCAGATTCTGTATGGCATAACGACCATCAAAGAAAGCACAGGCATGACGATATTAGCGCATATCACCCACAAACCGCTGTCGTCCATCAGCGTGAATAGTAGCATGAACCCAACTGTCCATGAACCCAACTATTTGTGAACCCAACTCTTCGTGAACTCAACTCTTCGTGACTTATGGCATCTTGACAGGAGCCTAATTTTACTTAGAGTGACGCGAGATTATGTCATTTTAGGAGTTTATTGATTCCACACGTGACATTTCTATAATTTGCCTCTCCTGATGTCATGTGACAGTTTTTTAGCGCTGTCATTGACGCCTAACGTAGGCAATGGCCACATGTAACGACACGCTGGCAAACATTGCACATCATTCAAGGGATAGGGCTTGAGTCTCGACCGACGATTGCTTGAATTGAAGACCTGTTTTCCCTTCCTAGTGGGATCATACTTGGTGAGTGAATTGAAATGCGAGCTGACGCACTTTTGAATCAGCTGCAATGCAAAGCAATTTGGCTGCAGAGAACAGAATTGAATTCTAATCAGTGATACATACAATCTAGTACCACTACAATCGTCCTCTTACCACGACATCTCCTCACTTCCTCCTAATCGTTCATCAGCATCTATTCCTTTTCACTCACAAAATCGTTGTTGGGCAACAGATCGCACAAGGAGATCGATACCACATCCTACAATCAGAATAAGAGGGGGATCTTTCTTACACATTCTGAGACACTGAATTAAACTTATGTTTATTGGTTGTGATGCCAATTTCGTCAACTGAACTGGTATTCTAATCTTCATGGACCTCTACCAAAGTCAATGCTGACTGGCTTGACAGAAACGCCGCTGGACTAGCCTTTCTGCGGACGATACAACCTTAAAACAAGTCGTGAAATATGTTTCAATTAGATACGTCGAGCCGAAGAATGTCGAGACAGAGTTGTTATGCAAAGAATGCAAGGAGGTTATTTTCTTTGATGGGGATAAGGAGATATGGACAGTTACAGGTAGCGGAAAGATGAAGCTTCCTGCAAATATCTCGGCTACAGTGTATCAAGGGAAATACCATGTGCAGCTATGAATGAAGAATATTAGCAAGAGTAGCGTCATCATATAAACGAATTTCAACATGATATATCATCTTCACTTTCACACAGTTTGTTGTGTCCACATATCCCTTCCTTTTCTCCCAATTCCGGAGGTCACACCTATCAATAGAAGTGGCAATAGTATCACCGAACGGTTCGGGAATATTGTCGACCGGAGTATCTCGGTCCAGGAATGCGTCAAGTGATGCGGCAATAGGGCCTCTGTCCGATTCGATATCAAAGGAGATGAAGGCATCGCCACGTGTCCCTCGAGGATATCTTGACTCGACTGTCATCAAGTGAGCATTGTTCGCAACATGTTCGGTGAACACATTCTTGAAGCTCTCTCGACGAACCCCTAGCAGTTTCAAGGCGTTGGGTTCTTCAGCTGCAGTCTTTGGTTCGGGTTCTAATCAGTAGATAGTAAGTAGTTATAAGTAGTTATCATGGTTTTAACTTTACCATTGTCCCTGGCCATCTCAGATTCGCTTATATTCCTCATTTGGAGCACCGTCCTGTAGATAGCATCAAATCTGCTTCCCTCGCATGCTGACAAAATGAATTTTATTCTCGTAAAGATCTCAGAGCGATGGAGGCATTGAATCTGCTGCTTTTCGACATACTTCCTGATATCGGATGCCTTAAATGAGTCGAGTAGTGTTTTAAGCCGCCTGTCTTCAAAACTAATTAACGAGAATGCCAGCTCATTTAAGTTTAGTTTTGAGACTTCTGAATAGAAGTTATTGGGAGTGTCCGATCTATTGACGTGTTGTACAAAAACACCACACTTTGCAAGGGTATTAGCGTCCAGAGATTTCGTCTTCGAAAGCCTGTCCTTTGCGTGCTCAAGCGCCTCGACCATCTTAATTTGGTAGCCCAAAGCCTTCTGCACATCACGTAAACTCTCAGGGTGAACAAAGAGATCGTTTATGGAAGCCATTGCAACCATTGATAGCTGGACTTGAAGGTAGTTTGGGTCGGAGGACAGTTGGGTCGAAGGACAGTTGGGTCGAAGGACAGTTGGGTCGAAGGACAGTTGGGTCGAAGGACAGTTGGGTCGAAGGACAGTTGGGTCG